CGAGCTCAGCGCCATCCAGTGCAAGAACATCCCCGATTACCTGAACGACCGGGCCGTGCTGGAGAAGCACTTCGGGCAGTTCGTCCGAGTGAGGCGGGTCCTGACCCGGCGCAACAAAAAGATGGCGATTCTGCACTTTTTCGACCACGTGAGTGGCAGGGGGGGGGGAGAGAGGGGGTGGGAATGCTTGGTTGGGGGGTCCAGCTCAGCCCAGAGGTGCCCCCGCTTGTGTTTCAGCTGGGGGGGCCTTGTGTGTGAGCCCCTGTGTTTGTAGGCAGTGATGGGAGTGTTAGAAATGCAGTGTTGGTTTTGCATTCTACTGTTGGAAACATAGTGTCAGGTTTGGTTTATATATGTACATCTACATCTTCATCCGCATCTACATCATCTTCATCCGCATCTACTCAAACTATATATTTAAACCATCCCTGGTGTCAAATATCTCACTTATATCAAACAAACTGTAGATTTAAATCACTCCTGGTGTCAAATATCTCAGTTATATCAAACAAACTATGTATTCAAACCACTCCTGGTGTCAGATACCTCACTTATATCAAGCAAACTATAGATTTAAACCACTTTTGGTGTCAAATATCTCACTTATAACAAACAAACTATATATTTAAACCACTCCTGGTGTCAGATACCTCACTTATATCAAGCAAACTATAGATTTTAAGTCACTCTGGTGTCAAATATCTCACTTATAACAAACAAACTATATATTTAAACCACTCCTGGTGTCAGATACCTCACTTATAACAAACAAACTATATATTTAAACCACTCCTGGTGTCAGACGCCTCACTTACCTCAAACAAACTACACATTTCAACCACTAGGATATACATACATACGCACATAAACCAAACCCGACGCCACGTTTCCGACACTAGAACCCTAAAACCAACGCTCCATTCCATTTCCAACAGACCCCTGAGGGACCCACAGACCCCCCTGCCCCACCGACCACAACTCCCCGCCCTCCCCCTTCCCTCCACCCCCAAAACCCCGAGGCCTCCACAGGCTCCAGGGCCTCCTTCTCACCACCAGGACGCCGTGCAGCTCCTCCCCGCTCTCTTTACACTGCTCCTGGATGAATTCCACCCCCAGGAATATCTCCCCCAAGTTGTTGTCCTCCTCCTCCTCCCCAGGGCGCGGCCTGGGCAGCTCCCCGGCCCGCAGCGGGTGGGCCGGGAAGGCCAGCACGTCGGTGGGCGTCGGGCAACGCCGGTAAATCCCGTTCAGACGCCTCATCAAGCCGTTCCCGGCGCAAACAAGCGCCAGGTGGAAGCGGGAAGCGCCCAGCGAGGCTCTCAGGGCGCACACGGCCCGGCGGAGCGGGGCCCTCCTCACGGCCACGGCGCGCTGGGCGTTGCGCAGCACCAGGCTCATGGCGCCTCGCCCCTTCCGCTTCCTCCTTCCTCCTCTTTCCGCTTCCTCCTCCCTCCCAGCCCCGCCATGAACCCGTTCCGAGCTCCCCACGCCTTCCCGTTCGGGCTGGGCCAGCCGGGGGTCAGCTTCAGGACGCCCAAAAG